AAAAATACAAATATCACTGAAAGAAGTATTTCTATAACTCCTGATATAAAAGTTGTGTTATCTCATGCCACATAAGTTATTATATCTGAGAGGATTAGTTCAATGAGATTTACAAGTATGATAGCAATCGAAAAAGTGTAACACCGCCATTTCATCGACTACATATTTCATGTATTTGACTTTTTCTTCTTGTCTTACTGGTAATGGCACTTTTAACATTGTGCCATTCAACCATTTCATGATTTCTCATTTTCTACATGCATACCTGTGTTGGAAATTTACGTATTCGTCGACAATGGTAAGGCGAGAGCAAATATTATTTATTGTTTAAAATATAAGCAAATGAGAAATTAACTCATTATAAGTATTACTAATTTTCGACATATTTTGAAAATAATTGTCGTTTAAACAATTTTAGAATATTTAAATAAATTTCTTTTTGATCTTTGATAAACAGTATATAAGTGTATGTACTTATCTTTGATACAATAAAAAAATAAAGTTGATAATTAAAGGAATTTTAAGGATAAATAAGTATCGGACTGTTGAAAGACCAATAATTATTAATGATAGGCATTTGAAAATACGCTAATTGTTTTTTTAAAACCGCGAGACATCGATTTAAAAAAAATCATCGAAATCGGACCTCTATAAGCTGAGATATTAAAAATTTTTAAGCGCGTCGCGGTTTTGAACTCGCCGATTCAATTTCGAGCAGGCCGAAGCGGCCGCGCTTCTGCTTCCCCCGCCACCAACACCCGTACGATTTTCTTGAATTTCTCGCTTGCATAAATGACTTTAAATACGTTTTAAAGTAGGTTGCCAATGAAGAAAAGTATTGCAAACTTATACCTGGTAAGTACTCGGAATACCAAAGATATTTCTCGAAAAATTAGTCCGGATGTCCCAGTACATTTAGTGTAAATGACGGTTAACTTTGATCGGCTATAACTACGTAACTAATTGACCAATCGATCTGCTTTTTTTTAAAGAAGCGTCTTTCCAATAACTTTTAAAACATGCTTTAAAAAATTTGATTTGGTTGAATATTAACAAAGTTATTTTAATTGTTTATAAGTAAAAAAAATCGACCAACGTTTAAACAAGCGCCAGAGCTCTCCTAATTCACGGATTGAATTTTTCAAAAAGCGTTTGAAAGCTTGAGAGCCCTTCTATATGTGATTAAATTTTAGTATCTAAGGACCTTGGTTTTTGCTGTGCAAAATTTTGAAAATTTTCAATTTTTTTTCAAAATCTGAATTGCAAAATTATTATGCAAAATCTATAGAACCGATTTTGATGAAATTTGGTGTGATGATTCTACATAACATGAAATTTTCTTGAGCCAAGTATGAAAGTCCTATACCCAATTTAAAGATCCCAAAAAATTTCCCTAAAAAATAATGTTTTTTAACTCCATTTCTGGTGATTTTTTCGATTTTTACAATAATAATCATGATTTATTCGATTTATAACTAGTCATATTTTGTAAAAAATTCAATTACAAAATTGTTTTCTCTTGAAAAGATACATAATTAAATAGGAAGAAAAATATGACATTTTTCGAGCATATTGTGCCGCCAAAAGTTAAGCCCACGTTTTTTTATGCACATAGAAAAGTTTTAATTTCTAGTGATATTTGAAAGCCAAAAAACCAAACATCTCCGTGGATATACAATTCGCCCAAACCAAAACAGATACCGCCTAGTATATAAACATACACTATCGGTACACTATCAGAAATAAAAAATATTAAAATTTCTATGTAAAAAATACACAAAATTATTTTATCACATTAAGAACTTACAAAAGTCATGGTTTGATTTATTTATGAGACTTACTTCCTACTATCGTGTAACTCTCTGATATACGAAGCNTCAAGTATCTAAGGACCTTGGTTTTTGCTGTGCAAAATTTTGAAAATTTGCAATTTTTTTTTCAAAATCTGGATTGCAAAATTATTATGCAAAATCTATAGAACCGATTTTGATGAAATTTGGTGTGATGATTCTACATAACATGTAATTTTCTTGAGCCAAGTATGAAGGTCCTATACCCAATTTAAAGATCCCAAAAAATTTCCCTAAAAAATAATGTTTTTTAACTCAATTTCTGGCGATTTTTTCGATTTTTACAATAATAATCATGATTTATTCGATTTGTAACTAGTCATATTTTGTAAAAAATTCAATTACAAAATTTTTTTCTCTTCAAAAGATACATAATTAAATAGGAAGAAAAATATGACATTATTCGGGCATATTGTGCCGCCAAAAGTTAAGCCCACGTTTTTTTTATGCACATAGAAGTTTTAATTTCTAGTGATATTTGAAAGCCAAAAAGCCAAAAATCTCCGTGGATATACGATTCACCCAAACCAAAACAGATACCGACTAGTCTATAAACATATTATCGGTACACTATCAGAAATAAAAAATATTAAAATTTCTATGTAAAAAATACACAAAATTATTTTATCACATTAAGAACTTACAAAAGTCATGGTTTGATTTATTTATGAGACTTACTTCCTACTATCGTGTAACTCTCTGATATACGAAGCAAATCAAATGAGAACAGGGGGGAAAGCGCCTTAATTGAGTTTTCAAAAAAAGTTAACTATCTGATGACGGAGAGACTCTACATTAAGGGAGGGTTTCATATCTGAAACGTCACATTCCTACACGGTGTATTACCTTCGTTATCCCGAAAATCCCGTAGACCGCGCGATGAATCTCCCAGTCCATCCATCAAGGCTCCTTTGCATGCGGCCATGTCTTAACAAAGCTTAACAACCCAACGCCCGTTTACCCAAATTGCCGTGGAATAAAAGTGGGTTACCCCACCGATTCATTTTATGGGCTAAGACGACCGTTTTGACGTATACGCGTCAAGTTTATAAGCGTGGGCGACCGCAACGGACCGAGGACTACGTCTACGGAACAGGGAAAGTCCGCGTCATTTGTCAAACAAATGAAGGACGTCAGAACGGGGAGGGGTACCCTTCGCGGTCGGTAAGTTTCGGTTCTTGAGTTTGAGTCAACAAGATCCGGAGGCTGTTAAAACAGAACTATTCTGCGATAAAAGTGAGGCATAATGCGATTATGACATTTTCTAATATCTCATAAAAAAGAGGTGGGAAAATGAGGTGGATTCCACAGGCGTATTTTGCACAACAAAATATTCATTTTCTTTAGCACAGGTTTTTATTTAAAAATACAAACGATTGACAGACTTGTCTGTAAATTCCATTAACTGCTTCCTTTTTCAGTGTAAGAATAAATAAATTACCTACCTGCCATGTATTATAAATAAAAAGAATATTTATATGCCTGTATACTTAAAAAAAGGATACAACATGGACGACTATAGAAACGTAAAGAGTATATTAAAAGACTTAAAAGGTAAACATTTCATAGACAGTAGGTATAGCATTTATGTCCGTAAAATAATTTATTAACATTGAAACTGCAGTCATACAGTATCTCCCCTTCTCTGTTAACTCTGTTTGAATCTTATTTTAGTATAGATACCAATTTGTGCAGTATCGTGGCTTTCAATCGTGTAAATTCCATCAATCTTCAGGAGTTCCGCAAGGCTCAATCCTGGGGCCACTGCTGTTTTTATTTTTATTAATGAGTTAACTATTAGAGCTATTTACTCTATGCGGACGATCTGAAGTTGTTCTTGGAACTTAAATCTTCTACTAATTCTACTAGATTACAAGAAAATCTTGAGAGATTACACAGTTGGTGTTCATGTAATAATCTACCTCTGAATGTAAACAAATGTAAAATTATGTCTTACTGTCAACGCTAAGCTAATTTAGATTTTGATTATAAAATTGGTGAATCTTTTCTAAATAGAGTTATGCAATTTACTGACCTTGGTGTTTCATTTGATACTAAATTGTCATTTGACGAGCACATTAGTTCAGTAACCAAATCTTCTTATAAGAATTTAAGCTTTATTTTGCGTAATTCTAAGGACTTTCAGAACGTAAAGGTTCTAAATATATTGTATGCAGCATTTGTGCGTTGCAAACTTGAATATGCATAGGTTGTTTGGAGTCCAATTTATAATATTCATAATATTCAATTAGAGAAAGTACAATGGAGATTTTTAAAGACTATTCATTTTATTAGTTATGGATTTTATCCTCCTCGTGATACACCTCAAGAATTATTGATTTCTTGTTTTCATTTTAATAGTCTCTGTCGGAGGCGAATTATGTTTTCAATTATACATATTCCTTTTTAAAATTATAAATAATACTTTAAATGTAGACTTGTTAGTTTCAACGATTTTCTATCATGTTTCTAGATTTAATTCTAGATTTCACTCTGCTCAGCAAATACCCACATTACGTACCAATTTACTAAGAGTATCTCCCCTATATCAAACGATTTCCAATTATCAAAAGTATGAAGATCGACTTGATATATTTTTTCATTCTATGAATAACATAAAAAAAATACCGTAATTGGGACTTTGTCTCGTTGAATACTGTAATTTCAAAATAAATAATTAATTAATTAATTAAATAAAATAATATGACTACGATTAATAAAACGAAGCGAAATTATTAATGTCGATAAAAAAATTTAATATGGACCTCAGCCAAAGCCCGCCCTTTTTTGGCCTCGACAAAAAATGCAACTTTTGACCGAAGTACATGAATAACTCTTTCACTATTTAATTGAGCTACTTATTAACTTAATATCTCCAACAAAATACGGTTAAAGAACTATTTACTGAAGTTCTATTACGTATTACACGGATAGTTTAATTTATGGATAAAAAAAATGTAAAACAGCTGCGTCAACATGCGTTTGTTTGTATTAGATGCGATAAACTATATCTACTATTTTTACATTCAATAGATGAATTCATGTTTTCCGGATGCTGATACGTATACAATACTACATACAACAAAATTTCAATAAAATAAATACATCTAAGATTCTGGCTATCTCTACATACTTAATATATAGACTTACCCTAACTGCTAAAATGGCCTTCGGATTCTCTTGGATGTAATCTGTAAAAGAAGAAACATTGAAACTTTATTTTGCGTACAATTAAAAAGATTTTAACATATACCTAAGCTTAGTTTGATCCTTCTGATAAACAGCGATCTGAGCAATAAAAAAACAATGCCAGAGGGCCCTGTGGATAAGACGATTTATGCCAAAAAAAACTGACTTCTGAAAGACTATACCAGAGCCTACAGAACGTGCCAATAATACAACGTGCGCAGTAAAGTTATATAATTACAGCAGCAGCCTCATTGAATATCCAGAACTAAAAGCTACAAATTATTTTGAGATTTGTTTTATATTCTAGAACGAAAAAGACTTTAGCGTTCTAGAACATAAAAGTATTTTGCAGCTAGGTGACAAAAAGACTCACTTTGTGAAGCGAAAATTTAACGAAAATGACGACAGTTTTCGAAAAAATAATTTTCGAGGATTTTGTCAGTATTAGTATATTAGTACTCTTGAACATTGTGATGTAAAATGCACTTATTGTACTAATCTCTTGCAAAATTTTTATGAAAAAGATTTTTTCGACATTTTCATAAAAAATATCAATGCGATTCACTGGAGATTGTGTATACAGTCGAAATTAAATTTTGCCGCATATCCTAATTTTTGTAGTTCCGCCACTGAACCACATAAACTATACATGCCGAATAGATATTCTAGGATGAATGATATCATGTATCTATTTATTCCAGTGCCTGGTGAACTCGAAAACAGTCGATATGCGGGCAATTCGCATAATGACGTTCGTGGAACGGCGCCTCGCACACGGTGATGTAAGCGAAGAACGAATGCGTTCTGTAATCATCTCCACAGTACCCGTCCGTAAGTGCATTACATTCTCTATTCAAACCGCATACATCCAAATCAACAATAATTAAAATTAATGAACACAATTACTGGCGTGATATAGTACTACACAGCGCTAGTGCTAGATTATTCAAGATAATATCAAATAAAGAGAGGCGAAGCTTGCGGTCATTCTGTCTCGCATTTTAGTCATTGTACAGGGTGTTTACATTGTGTTCCTAGATTATTTTAGACCGAAAAGGTTTAATAACATAGGCCGACAAAAAAAAAGCTTTTGTCTTTTAGATCAGACCCGGTTTTTCTTATGTATTTTTATGTTCTAAAAACGAATTTCAGAGTTAGAAAAAATTCTATGACAGGTTATTCCCCACAATCGTGAATGCCTTGAGTTCTGGATGAATCTTGATTAATTTTCAATTCAGTTAACATTTATCTTACTAATTGTAAGATATACCTACGGGCAGGTTCCCAGAATAAAAAACCTAGAATACACGGTTTAAGAGGAAGAAAATCTTACGCCTCACGGATACCCAGAAGGGACAGGAATAGAAGTGATCGGACTGTCTACAAGCTTTAGCTTATGTAGATGTTTCCTAAAGTGACAGTGTCCCGTTATGAGTCCTGTCACTTTCCTGAGCCGGATTCTGTTCAAGCTCAGTAAATCATTCGCTCTTTCCTTCGAAGGATACTCCATGAACTCCTTAGAATGGCTATGTCCTGGCCTTGAAGTCCAGTATTTCCTGTGTTCTGTTTCAGTCCATTTGCCCAGAGCCCGCCTGACCACACTGGGAGATGTGCCACAGAAGGGCTCCGGGCCAATGAACTCTGTCTCGGATCCCTTCCTAGCAAGTTCATCCGCTTTCTCATTTCCACAAATGCCTTTGTGCCCTGGCACCCAACACAGTCTGACTGTATTGTTGGTGGCCAGTTCAGTCAGCATTTGTAAACAATCCCACATCAAGTTTATTCACTTGGTAATCTCTTCATGATTAGATGATGGTCGATCTATCAATTGGTCTATTGACAGTCTTTCGACAGTCAGTGGTCCGTCACTTGACGGTCTATTGACATTTGACAGACAGATCATTGATGCAACGACATCAAATCACTCATCAGAGGCTTGAAAAACCCGCAGACAATGAGTTCCTTCATCAACAGCAGAATACTTGATCTGTTGGTCTATATTGACAGTCTATTGACAGCATAGCTTGGAAATCTCTACCTCAACCTTTCATACGCAGTCTCTTATGTTCAAAACTTTGAAAATCAGAATTCTGTTCATATCACACAAGCCTTGACGAGTGGCATGATGTTACCCAAAAAATAACAGAAAACCTGAAATATCGCGCATTTGATGGTGACTTGTGGAAAACCCTTGGGTCAGATTTTTTTCTAGACCGGAAATTCGTTTACAGAACATCAAAATACATAGAAAAAAAACTGGTATAATCTAAAAGAGAAAAACTTTTTTTTGTCAGCCTGTGTAATTCACGAAATTAAGGCATAAATTCCCTGATTTGGTTTTTCAACCAGTGCCCAAGATATTTGTGGAGACTGTCATTAAATTCAATTTAAATACTTCGAAAATTCAAAAAAAAAAAAACATTTCTAACTATAAGAAGGAATAACCTAGAGTTATAACAGACCAGACTTGAAACACATTATTACATTAAAGCTAGCTAACAGATCACAAAACAATTATATTTTGATGAATACTAAACAGTACAAAAATAAAAAAGTCAAAGGATAAATCGGAGTTATCTTATGTTAAAACAAGATCCATTGTCATTAAAAAAAAAATCAAGAAATAAAAAGTCATGGTTCCAACAAAAGTATCGCCCTGTAAGTTATTTCAAACCGAGTTTCAAGCAGTAATTCTCTGGGTGTAGAGTCTATCGAATGTTGTTGTGAAAACAACTACTCTGAGGACTACAGCCGTGTCTATTATTAATTCAGATCCACCAGACATATACCGGTTTCGAACTTTTTAGTTCTCATCAGTATGCTATAAGTGAGACAACCGACAAACGATCTAGTTATTAGGATGTCTATCTGAATGAATCATCTTCAACAATATGTAAAATACACGAAAATATCCAAAAAATAGTAAAACTGTAAAGAAGCATTCACATGAACTTTTTTATTATTTTGGTCAGAGACTCAGTGTAGAATTTTGTTGGTGGAATATCGCAACACCCTGTATAAAAAAACGATTAAATTGTCTTATTTATTTATGCCATCAAGCCGAGAGGAACATCTGTTAGACTTGTCAGGCCGCTCTTATTTATGTCCATAGAGTTTTTATGCCTTCTGAAATAGGGCACATGGCGTTCGAGTTCATCATTTAGATTCATCTCGACTGCTGCGCTAGCAGTAGGTATATTTTATACGGTTATTTTAGTATGTTTCCCTATAAATTTCCCGAATCTTAATAGTTTATTTTCGATGAGAGTTTATATTCGAGAAAATTACTATCTACCTATTTCTTTTTGTTAGGTACCGGTTACGAGAATCGATGTTTGGAAGTTTTAAAAATCTGTTTCACAATTTTAATTACAACTACTCGTATATATTTACATAAAAATGACGCAATTTGGTGTGTAAAAATTGCATATACTGCTTGCAACTATGCAGTTATCATTATATAAATATTATATCATTTTTCGACTGAATGTTTTTATTTTCCAAATTTAATTACTACAAACAGTCATAATTTATTTATCAATTTATTATGTGCAATAATTTATTAACGAAATATTTATTCACAAAATAACAAATGGTCATGAGAATTCAATTAACATTTTTAATTTGAAATTACAGTAAATAAAAATATAATTGAATTTTCATTAAATTGATAACTAATTCACAGAAACAGGGTAGTAAAAATTAGAACATAAAATGTACGAGTGTAGTACTAACTAGCGCCCTCTATAAAATATACAAAAAATAATTAGACCAGCGTATTTGGCGTCCTTACAAACCCCGGAATACCAAATTTCATAAAAATATTTCACACCGTTTGGAAATTTTCACTTATAATAGCCCTAGTGCTTGAATTATTTCCGAAAATTTTTCCGAAGGAACTCATTTTCTAGAAAATTTGCGTGATTGAGGAAAAATTTCCGGACATTAATTCAAGGACGTGGGGGATTCGGTAAGAAAATTTTACAACCAAAATTTATTTTAAAAATTTGACGTTTCATTTTGAAACTTATTTCGCCAAAATAAAGTTGGCTTGACAGGTAGACACTGTTTTGTGGTACATGACATATTTTTTTCTTCTTAAACGTCACATAATTTAATCGCATTTCACGCGTTTTTTTAAATTCAAAAATGGCTCGTTTTGGAAATGAAAATTCTGAAAACATAAAAGCAGAAGTGGCAAATTTAATTCCTTAAAATACGAAGAAGTCGAAATTAAGAGGCAGTTTCTAGTTTTTTGTGCGGAAAGATCCTACAATGTTGAAGATCCAACAATATCGATGACTGCGTTGGCATCAATTTTTGAATATAATGCGTTTAACATGAAAAAGAAAAATAGTAAAACAAAATTGTTCTTAATAAAACATAAAAAACAACACGTTCCTTTCATTTTAGTAATAAATTAGACATTTAATTTTTGAATTCAAATATTTACCTTTGCAATACAATTCACTTACTATTACTAAAATAGAAGGAAAGTAAGTTTTTGTAGAAAAGCGATGTCTATGGCAGTTTATCAAAGATTCTTATTAAAACATAAAAAACACATTCCTTTCACTTTAGTAATAAAAAAGGCATTTAATTTTTGAATTTAAATATTTATCTTTGCAACACAATTCACTTAGTATTACTAAAACAGAAAGAAAGTTTTTGTAGAAAAGTGATGTCGATGACAGTTTATCAATGATTCTTATTAAAACATTAAAAAAACACATTCCTTGCACTTTAAATTACTAAAAAAAACACATTCCTTGCACTTTAGATTACTAAAAAAAACACATTCCTTGCACTTTAGATTACTAAAGTGCAAGGAATATGTTTTTTTATTAAAAAAAGGCATTTAATTTTTAAATTCAAATATTTATCTTTACAGTACAATTCACTTAATATTACTAAAATAGAAGGAAAGTAAGTTTCTGAAGAAATGCGATGTCTATGACAGTTTATTAATGATCCTTATTAAAAACAAAAAATAGCACATTAC